ACACTATGTAAGGTTCATCACAATCATCAGTCCATGTCTTACCTGATTACAAAAACCTTCTTTCTAACCCTTTCTCTGTAATTATAATTTCACGCTGATTTCATAAGAGTGGAATTTCAGTTATGTGGATGAGAAGAAAGGTATAATGAAATGATGTTGCACTAGCTACACGTGGTTTTGTGACTGCGATAAATTGTGGAATGGGGGATTATGATGAACCTTCCATAAAACTGTTACATTTGCTGGCTCATGTGTAAGAGGCATGTCTCATGGCTATGTAGCCCCTCCCTTAATCATTATTTTGTTAAAAAATAATAATTTTAACAACAGCCAGTTCCCACCAAGGCAGGATGATCCAAAGAAAGATAAGCATTTAACCCTTTCAGGGCCGAGAGGCCCTCTCCTAAACTTGTTCTCAGGGTCGAAAATTTATTGGGAAAAAAATGATTTTTTCTTATGAAATGATAGAGAATCTCTTCCTGATCATAATGACACCAAAACTACGAAATTTGATGGAAAACTTACGGAATTATGCTCTCGCGAAGTTAGTGGTCTCGACGATGTTGACGCATCGGCGATTTTGCCCACTTTGAGCCCTGTTTTCGGCCAATTTCAGTCTACTAGTCGATAAAAATCATATCTATTTCGCTAGAACTCCATTTTTTCTATCGAATGAGTACAAGAAACCACCACTTTACCGATTTCAAGTATCCAGTAAAGTGGTCAGAAATTGGCAATTTTGCCAATTTCACACAAATTTCAGAAGATGCCAATTTCCAAATAGGGTCCAGAACAAGCAAGACAGACATTCCTGGCACTAAAATAACATTTTCTCTGTTCATTAGTCACATTCCCACGCCCCTCTTGCATCTCTTTTGCTTTCCACTTTGAATTTTTATTCTCACAAATAATAAAAGATTTACTGTTATGCAAACTACTGCATTAGTGTAGAAATGGTATAAATAATATCAGGGCACTTGTGAAAGAATATTAGACTCACCAGTTGACGTGTATTGGACGCTTGGCATGATTTGTTCACTTTTGAAATTTGGTAAAAATCGAACATTTCTGCTACTTTGAGCTCAATTTCAAGGTACCTTTCATTATGAAATCAATCAAAATCATCTCAATTTCTGGAATATGTCTTCCATTCTATAAAATGAGACCAGGAAAACTAGAATACAACCATAAATACCATACGAAAATGCACTGCAAAGTCGCTGTTTTAAACTAAAAACACAGTCGGAGTTTTTTTTTTTTCTCATTATGCACTGTGTGCTGCAGGATTTTTTTTATACTGTGCACACTGACCACATAGACCCATTCTTTCATATGTAGGCCTACTAGCTTTCACTAGATTTGAAGGTGCTAGAATTTAGGCGTTCTAGTACGTCAATAACCCTGGTGCGTAAGCCATACTACTACGTCGGAAACCCTGAAAGGGTTAACATTACTCATTCACCAGTCTTCTATTTCAGAAGTAGATGGACAATTCAGTTCAAATGATCCAGTAAACTTAATTTTAAAAAAAGAGAGCATATTAGTTTAGTTGGGAGTTGGTCAAATTTTTCTAATAGATTAATTTTATGATTATTTAGAAAACTATACAATGGATTAATATATAAAATTGGACTAGGACAAAATAACCTTGAGTATGAAAAATGAACATGAAAAATATCCATCTTTAGACTTTTTAAGTCACAGCAGTATCAAAATTATTTCCTAAATTTCAGCGAGTGTCTGAATGGTGAGGCAAGTCCATCAGCTGATGCGACACTATTGGCAGATTTGACTGCACGACTAGAAAAGGAATATGAAGATTGCAGCAAATACAGAAATTGCAAGTCCCCTCAGGTAATTTGGAATATGTATATCATCTGTGGATATTGTTTGAACAGTATATTGCCTGTCTTAGTATCCCTTTTGTGTTCGTACACATTTTTCAAACTTCTGCTGTTCTTCTAGGTAATACTTGTTGAGGTGAAAATGCTCCTTTTTCTCAACTTTTACATTTTTTTTACTTTTCATATTCATTGTTATTGTATCTATGCCACAGTAATGCTGACCCTCTGGCACAAAGCATTTATTTATTTATTCTAATTTTTCATATAAGGTAGCAGTAAACATTTACTATAGCTTTGTAAGGCTTTATACACTAGGCAGCATAGTTGGTACATTGGTGGTCTTTTGTTTGTGAGGTTAGCTGATCACTTTCCAGTACTTGGACCATGTTCAGTAAGATATTCAGTCTTTTTTTTTTTATTTTTTATCTGGCAAGAGTTTATATAAAATGAAATCATTACTGCTGCCAACGCTGATGCTTGTGGCTTCCCCATGATGATGTGTTAATTTTATATCATTCAGTCTTTTTTTTTTTTTTGTGTGTTGTGTGTTGTGTGTGTGTGTGTGTGTGTATGTGGGACTTTCATAATAATTTGATACATTTGCAGCTTCCACTACAAGGTCCTGATCCGTCCAGAATATACCTCTATTCTTCAGGGAGTTATATCCCTGTCCTAGTCAAACATGCACACGTGTTACAAAGGGTGCATAGATGTTCTCATGACCCAACAGGTATGTAGCTTGCTTATACCAAGTTCCTGTATAATAAATGGTTAATATATATTATATTAAAGTGATTAATATACTCTATCCTTTTTTTTACATAATTTCAAAAATATTGATATAGGGCACAGTATAGTTGCTGCACCTTGTCCAACTGGGAATGTTGACAGAGTAATAAACAGATGAATTTCTGTAGATAAAAATTATTTTACATAAGTGGATACTGTACATGATTTTATTATCCAATGTCCATTTATTTCTATTCTCCATGGGGAAGTGGAAAAGAATTCTTCCTCTGTAAGCTGTGCGTGTCATAAGAAGCGATTAGTGCTGGGAGCAAGGGTCTGTTAACCACGTTTGTATAGATTACTAAATGTCAGAAAGAAGAAAAACTTTACATTTCTTGTTTTTCATGTCACCCTTCCTTGATGGGAGACAGCCATTGTGTTAAAAACTATTTATATTATTGTATGATTGTTGCAGAATGTAAATACTTCATTTTTTCCCCTCAGGTGTTGAAAGCCGGCCGAGTGAAATCATTAAGGAGGCACGTGAAGAAATAGAAGAATTGATTACCTCACATATGCAACACTTAGATGTCATTCAAACTGTGACCCCAAATATTCTTCCAGGTGTAAACCCTCCTGCCTTCACACATCTAAATCACTTAGCACAGACCTTAGGCATTATTGCTATCCTTTTAGGCTGCTGTTTTACCATTCTTAAACCAATTAAGGCAGCTGTGTCCAAGAGAAACAAGAAGAGAAAAGAACCTGTGATAATGGTGTGTATTTTGCTTATTTTCATATACTATATGTTGAATTTGGTACAGTACTTAAGATCAGAGTTTATCAGATACTCTCCTCTCACTTGCATAAAATGTGACTGCAAAGTTTATCAGTTGAACTTTCTGAAGGTAAGTTAACCCAGTCTTGATGGTTAGGAGTTTTCACAGTAGTCAGTAGGAGAGAGTTTAAGTCGCAGAGATAATTACATGGCTAACCACACAGCGTAAATTACAAAAATGCAAAGTTACTGCTCCTCAGTATTGTTCATTTTCTGTTCATTCAGTGATTGGCTTGTTCAGGTCCAGAGGAATGTTAAAAAATCTACCAGCAGACTAAATGTGCATGAAAATAATAGAGGGGAAAAGGGGGAAGCCTATGTGTTTCTGACGTTGTACAATATGAAGTTCAACGATGAGAAATTTCAATTTCTCAGATGTGGTAAACACGAGGAAATTAAAACTTCATCAGAGTACAAAACAAATTCTGGCCACAAAATAGAGCAAAACACCAACGTCAAAGACCTGGGAGTGATCATGTCGGAGGATCTCACCTTCAAGGACCATAACATTGTATCAATCGCAACTGCTAGAAAAATGACAGGATGGATAATGAGAACCTTCATAACTAGGGATGCCAAGCCCATGATGACACTCTTCAGGCCACTTGTTCTATCTAGGCTGGAATATTGCTGCACTCTAACAGCACCTTTCAAGGCAGGTGAAATTGCTGACCTAGAAAATGTACAGAGAACCTTCACGGCGCGCATAACAGAGATAAAACACCTCAATTACTGGGAGCGCTTGAAGTTCCTGAACCTGTATTCCCTGGAACGCAGGCGGGAGAGATACATGATTATATACACCTGGAAAATCCTAGAGGGATTAGTACCGAACTTGCACACGAAAATCACTCGCAACGAAAGCAAAAGACTTGGCAAACGATGCAACATCCCCCCAATGAAAAGCAGGGGTGTCACTAGCACGTTAAGAGACCATACAATAAGTGTCAGGGGCCCGAGACTGTTCAACTGCCTCCCAGCATACATAAGGGGGATTACCAATAGACCCCTGGCAGTCTTCAAGCTGGCACTGGACAAGCGCCTAAAGTCGGCGCCTGACCAGCTGGGCTGTGGCTCGTACGTTGGTTTGCGTGCAGCCAGCAGTAACAGCCTGGTTGATCAGGCTCTGATCCACCAGGAGGCCTGGTCACAGACCGGGCCGCGGGGGCATTGACCCCCAGAACTCTCTCCAGGTAAACTCCAGGTAAATGGACTAAATTTACGTGGTGCTCTAGTAATTTATATTCCCTTAATAAAAAAAAAAGCTTTATACAGGTGGTGATGTATGTGTTGATTTTTTTTTTTTTTTTTTTTTTTGAGGGGGGAGAGAGGCTTTAGTTTATATATTTGTTAGTGTTTTGACAAATATGTAACATGTTCCCCTGAAAATGACCTAAGGCACTGCCATATTATTTTTGGCAACATGTGAGCTGTATTTGATATACTTAATAGATTTTCTGGCACATATTTATAATAAAAATATGATTTTATTTTATTGATATATGTTTAATGTAACTATCTACTCATAGTTACAGGAGCAGAACTATGCCCAATTGCCCATGTCTCATCGTAGTGTTTAACCCTTTGACTGTCGCAGGCCCCTTTCTGAAACTCTCATTCTATGTCGATAAATTTTTGGAAAAAAATAAATTATTTTTTTCTTATGAAATGATAGAGAATCTTTTCCCGATGGTAATGACACCAAAAGTACGAAATTTGGTCGAAAACACGGAATTACGCTCCCGTTAAGTTAGCAGTCTTGGCGACATATATGCATTGGCGATTTCGCCGACTTTGAGCCCTGTTTTTGGCCAATTCTGTTGTTCCAGTTGACCAAACTCATAGCTATTTCTTTAGAACTCCATTTTTTCTACCTGTTGAGTACAAGAAACCGCCCATTTACCGATTTGAACTACCCAATAAAGTGATCAGAAATTGGCAATTTGGCCAATTTCACGCAAATTAAAAAAGATGCCAATTTCAAAATAGGGTTCAGAATAAACGATGTAGACATTCTTGGCACTAAAATAACATATCCTCTGTTCATTAGTCACGTCTCTAGGCCCTCTTATATTACTATTGCTTTCTATTTTGATTTTTTATTTATACAAAAAAATACAAAATTTACTGTTATGCAGACTATTGCATTGTTGTAAAAAATGGTATAAATAATATCAGTGCTCTAGTGAAAGAGGTGTATTGGACGTGTGGTGTGATTTGCTTACTCCTGAACAATGGTAAAAATCGAACATTTCCGCTACTTTGAGCTCAATTTCAAGGTCGTTTTCATCATGAAAGTAATCAAAATCATCTCTATTTCTGTAATATATTTTCCATTTTATCACCTGAGACCATGAAAACAAGAATACGATAAATACTATACAAAAATACACCTCAAAGTCGGTGTTTTAATCCAAAAAAAATGTCAGGTTTTTTTCTTTTTCTCATTACACACTGCGTGCTGCAGGATTTTTTTTATGTGGTGCACACTGACCACACAGACCCATTCTCTCACTTGTGGGCCTATCAGCTTTCTCCCGCTTGATTTGAAGCCACTAGAATTTACGCGTATAAATACGTCAGAAACACTGGTGCGTAAAACGTATATATACGACCGAAACAGTCAAAGGGTTAATCCATTATACTAGGAAATAGTACTCTTAAATACCTAGGATGATATACTTAACAAGGCTTATTTTAAAGCCTAGTCTTGTCTAAGGTATACATGCTAACACCCTCCCCGGGATGTGACCCACAACAGTTGGCTAACACCCAGGTACTGTACCATACTTCTATGTGAACAGGGACAACAGGTGTAGGGAAACATGCCCAATGTTTCCACTTTTCCTTATTCATTCTTGAAATTTCATGTTGTCCTACTCTGTATTGCAGCCAGAGGTGATACCCCAGTTTGCCAACTTCATTGCTTCCCTTACGTCCCACCTCCAGAAGTTAGAGAAAGCCACTACTGAGAAGTACAAGTTTGTCAAGTCAACGACAGATGAAAACATCCATAAAGGTTATTCATCTGTGGACATCAGTTGTGTCCTCACAAGTCATGCTGAGGGAAATGCAGTGTGTGAAAAAGTGGAACAAAGTTATGTTAAGATTTTAGAGAGGCTCTCCTATTCTATAGAAAATAAATTAAAATATATCTCATCTCTTAAACTTTAACATGCAATCTCAACTCAAGAGTCTAGAATGTATGATTTTTATATTGTGTTTACAAGCCTTAATTATTGTTGAGTGGTTCCAGATGAAAAGTAAAATGCAAATGTGTCTTAAATCTTTGCAAGTCTCCAATAAATCTTGAGTTGTAAAGTCTGATATTGTTGGTCAATGAAAATTTGACATGATTTCAAGGAAGTATATTTGTTATAATTGAATAAGGACTTCATTATTTTTAACGAGTTTTTCAGCAGCTGAAGTCTGTAACTATTTGCTTGTTGAGTTTCATTTTAATATAATTTAAATGTGATTGTGTTGTTATTTGGCCTTACATTCTTTGTTACTCATTTCACTACATTGAGATAGATGCAGAAACTGTTTGAAGCATTGTAAAAAAAAAAAAAACATTCAGTGTTATAAACATTAGTCTCATCAACTTCAGTTTTCAGTATGTGGAGCAGCTACTTGTTTGGCCCTAGAGTAGCCCATCATTTGCAAGGACATAGTGCATTATTTTTATACGACACTTTATATTTCATATTTTGTGATGCTTTAGGTGGAAATATTCGTTGTGTAACATTTGGAGCAATTCAGTCCTTTTAGTATATCACAGGTAGGTGCAAAGTTCAGCCCCCAACTAGACAGAAAGAAATGGCTATCTCTTAGAACCCAGGCTGAATCTTTTGTTTTCAGGGCTCTGATATAAGCTGTCTCTTCCTACCTTGGGGAAACTGTCTTGCAGAAATGTGAAGCATAGCATACATTATGTCAACAAAAACATTGTAATTTTCATGTGGATTGGATTCTTATAATTTTACAAAGAGTTCTTCCAGGTGATAACTGTAGGTCTCTATTTTTTTAAATATAATATAAATTTCACTGTACTGTGAGTGTTAACTGAGAATTGAAATGGAACTGGATAGTTACTAGTGCACTGGAAAAAGATGCCAATACAATATCTGTATCTACTTACATTTCCACCCATAATTTTATTACTCAAAGCTACTTGTGTGGGTGCACACACTAAAAATGATATTCTTTCAACTATATATGAAATAGTTTACAGAAAAAAATATTCAAATTTTATAACATTGCATTTAAAAATTTATTTGTATTCTCATCATTGTATTTGGTATTGCAAGTAAAAACTTGCATTAATACAAGGAAGCACATCTTCAGGGCTAAATACATTTGTATATATTGCATATTAAAGTGATCCTTTTATATTTGGTATTTCTAGACACATACTTAAACCAAAAATACTTACACATACATGGTCTGTGAGAAGTTTAAATCCCTTAACTTGGATTGTTTACTTCATCTTTGGTAATCAACTATTTGTTAATAAATATTTGCATTTCTTTTAATGAATAAGTACTCTTTTTTTATTAGGTGCAGGCAAAAGTTGTTTTTCAACAGCTTTATCTTTGGCCAATAGTCATTCCAGTAGCTTTAACCAGTGCTGTCTTTATTTCTGTAGAAGACTGCCAGATTTTTCTTTATTTTATTTTGAGTTACATTAAAAAATCTTCAAGACTTGTTTGAAAAGAATAAAAGTCACAGTACCCAACCTGAAGCAGTTCACAACTATCAGTAACCCACAGATCTAACTTTGAGCTAGATGACACTTCAACCCTTCCTGGACCAAGACAGAGCAATATGTCTTTTATTTTTCTCTCACCCTTTAAGGGGTGAGACAAAATTAGATGCCAGTGAAAGGTTCTTAGTACAAGAGATTAGAACTGACCTTCCCTTCCTTAGATTGAACCTGATTGCCTCCCATTTCCCCATGTGCTGTATGACCCTTATGGGTTTAGTGCTCCCTCTATGAATGTATTAATAATGATAAGAATGGTTTCATTTTAAATTTCTGGGTTAATTGTGAAAACTTGTTTCTGTACAATAGTTAAGATGCTATAGAGACTTTATTGTATTTATTGGCTTAATACTGTATAAAGGAACAAAAGTTCATGTTTTCAATGTTATGAAATGGTTGAAATGCTGTAATTTTCTTTAATATCATCAGAACCAGAGACAAGCAAAGTTAAAAGCCATATGGATGTTTTTTTGTTTTGTATATGAAGTGTCTTGAGTTAATCCCCCTTGAAGGAAGTACCTTGATGCTAATGAGTGGCTCTTGATCCAAGGAACTGGACCTGTCCTCTTCCTGGGATCAAACCTGATTGCTCCCATTGCCCAGCTACTGTGTGATTCCTACAGGTTTAGTGCTTCCCTTGGTTTTAATAACACTAGTTACTCGATTCATGGAACAGTGGTTGACGAGCAGAGAACGGATAAGTACACTGCATGTTTGAATATTTGTGTGTGGAAAAGACAGATGGACTTGTGAGCCCAGTCTGAGGCTATCTGCTGAGAATAACCACTACTATCTAGATTAAGAACTATTGTGTATTATCTACTTGTATGAGTCAAGAATAGAAAAGCAGAATGCTTATGGTTAAACTGCTTTATGACCTTTTTGGGTTCAGTGCTTGAACTTGATTGTATTATCATTATTATAACAGTGATTATGTGTGAGTGAGGTGAAAGTGATGAACGATGATGAAAGTTTTCTTTTTGGGGATTTTCTTCCCCTCAAGGAAGGCTCCTTGACGCTGGTGAGGGGCTCTTGATCTAGGGAATTGGATCTGTGCTCCAGTTGGATCTGTGCTCCAGTTCCCTGAATGCCTTCCATCCCTCCATAGGCGCTGTATAATCCTACGGGTTTAGTGCTTCCCCCTTGATTATAATAATAATAATAATTGGGGATTTTCTTTCTTTTTGGGTCACCCTGCCTCGGTGGGAGACAGCCGACTTGTTAAAAAAATATTATAATGGTATGCTGTTGATAAAATAAGAGAAAGGTCAAAACTTTTGTGGTCAGTATTGAGAATGATCCATCTAATTCTAGGTGTATGCTGCCATTGGATACAAAGTATTGAGATTCAGGAGACAAAAAAAGTTTGTCAGGAAAATCTTCAGCACCTAGGCCTAGGGAAAGTTGTTTCCTGTTGATCAGGTGCATCATAAGTAGTGATTCAGTGCTTCTGCTCCCTCTTGCAGAATCCATGGTGGACACTGTCTGGTCCCACTGTCTTTGATATATCCAGCTCCCCTTACCCCCCCCCCCACAAAAAAAAAAGTTCCCTGCCCTGTTGTGTCTGGTGTTCAGTACCTGCTGATGTACTCCTTTTTTTTTTATCCTAGGCTTTCTGGTGTTGCCTGTTTCCTCTAGGAAGATCTCTTTAAATTGTTTGTTCAGCACTTTGCAGACGTCCCTGTCATTTTCTGTGAGTTCTTCCTTCAGTCAAACTGCCTGGTCTTTGACTTGTTTTCTTCTGATATGGCTGTGAAGCAGTTTTAGTTCATACTTAGCCTTGGTTGTTATGTTGTTCTCAAATTGTCACTCGGTATCTCTCCTCACCCTTGCATGTTCATTTCGGGCTAATCTGCCCACTTCTCTGTTCTCATCTGCCCTTTACTTCCTATAATTTTTCAATCCTCTTATGTTTCTCTTTTTTTTCTCTCTCTCTCTACCTCTTTGGTTGAACCAAGGAGTTATCTTTTCTATAAGCCGTTCCTCATCTACATATGAAGTTTTCCTCTGCCTTCCAGCTCTTCCCAACTACACATTCCATCATTTCATCCACTGACTTTCCTTCCAGTATCCTTTCCCACTGCACTACATTCAAGAATACCCTCATTCCTGCGAAGTTTTCTTCTAAAGCCTGTCATCCCACACCTTTTGCTTGCCAATGTTCCCCTATGTTTAGTTCCACAAGGTCCTCGTAGTTCAATGCTATGTGGTCACTGGCACCCAGGGAATCTCTTCCTATTTCTTCTGTTTCACTGAGAAGACCTCTTCAAATTGTTTGATAGGTCTTCACAGACATCATTTTTTGTGAGCTTTTCTCCTTCCTTATTTAGCCGTATTACCTGGTCTTTTACTATTGCCTTCTGATGTGGCTTTCAAGTAATTTTGGTTTGGACTTTGCCTTTGCTGTTGTCATTCTCAAACTGTGTTTGGTGTCTGGCTCTTCTAGGGTTTAGGCAAAGAACTCCACCTGACCTAATTGGAAATATATTTTTTCTTGGTTCTCTTGCCAGAGGAATCTTCGTTTACTTTATAATGTCTGCAGACTTGGGCAATGTTTTTACTCCACTCCTGGTTGCAGGGCTCAAGAAGGTATAATCTCTAGTGGCTCTTATGACCTTTGTAGGTTTAGTGCTTCTTTTTTATTATAAAAATCAAGTGGCTCCAAAATCCAGTGGCTCTTAACACGGTGGCCCCTCAAGGAAGGCTCCTTGACGCTTGTGAGGGGCTCTTGATCTAGGGAATTGGATCTGTGCTCCAGTTCCCTGAATTAAGCCTGAATGCCTTCCATCCCCCCATAGGCGCTGTATAATCCTACGGGTTTAGTGCTTCCCCCTTGATTATAATAATAATAATCTTAACACGGTGGGAACCTGAGTGGGAAGGGTTACAACCCTCTTGATTGGCAGGATATTCTGGCCCTTGTGTCTTCCTGCTTCTGCCTGCATTGAGGACATATAATATACATATTCCAGCTAGTAGTGTCCCTTCCACTTTGGATACATCGACTTCAGACCAAGAGACTAATTACCTCAAACTCTTCATTTTCCTCTTGTATTCTCTGTATTGGACTAAAGAAGCCACTGGCTGACGAAATGTTTCCTCAATAAACAGTTCCCAAATAAGTGCCTCAGTCTTCAGCCTGTCGATATTTAATACCATTTTCATCACACAAGGTTTCTATCCTGAATACCTGAAGGCAGGGTTCGATATGGCGGAAGGTGTCAGTGGCTCTATAAGCCCCAGCTGTATAGCCCTTGTGGTTTAGCGCTTTTTTTATTATAATAATAATCTATAAACCCCAACATGAAGGAGGAGCCTGAGGTTGCATCAGCTCTTAAAAGCCAGCAACAGCAGCATCGCTGGTGGTGACTTTGCACCAGCCTTCGTTGAGTGTGGTCGTCTCGCTCTTGCCTGAGTATCAGTTACAAATTTTCCCTAATCTCTCTGGGGACGCTTGTCCTTATCTACTTTGCTCGCCGAGCACGTTATATCGGCTTACTTTTAGCCAGTTCCATTTTTCCGCTCTCCGGACAATTCTTTAACGGTTTTGTGGGAATCCGGTTACTGAACTTAGTTCGGGGGGGAGGGTGCGTTCTTTTCTGCTGGGACTTGGCAAGTGGGTCCACCTGATCTAATTGGGAACTTCTAGTTCCTGTTTCTATTTACAAAGGAACTCTTGCTCTTTTTTCTTTCATCGCCCAGCTTTATAATAATAATATCTTTATTTACTACAAGTACATGTACAAGGTATACAGTCCTAGCTGACATCAATGACATACTACTATATAGAAAGCCACTTGTTATGCTCAGCATTTCGGGCAAATTAGGTCAGTGTCCCAGGATGCGATCCACACCAGTCGACTAACACCCAGGTATCCATTTTACTGATGGGGAACATAGACAACAGGCGGAAAGAAACACGCCCAATGTTTCTACTCTGGCTGGGAATCGAACCCAGGCCCTTACCGTGTGAAGCGAGAGCTTTAGCCACCAGGCCACCAGAGCCGCAACAAATCTTCCCTGTTCCCATTCCTAAGTTCTCTACACATACGCTGCTGTGTATGATAATCTATGTAACTATTTATGTATACCTGAATAAACTTATTTACTTCCCCGTGCCATCGAGGCGATTAGATTCAGATTTTGCCGCTGAAGTGGCTAGTTTATTGTGCACTCCATGTCCATCCTGTGGATGGTAGTGCAAGAGCATATGGATACACAAAAGGCCTAGGAACTAGGCCCCAAAAGGGTTAACAGGTGTATATATGGATTTATATCTACATATCTACAGTTCTCTTATCTGTTACAAGCAAATTTAGGAAATTTGCTTAGTGTATCTGGTATCTTATTTTCATTAATAAGATATCTTGACATGTCACATAGGTTATCATACTGTCTGTCTCTGTATTCCTCAATAAGTGGACAATTAAGCACATAGTGTTCAAGATAGTGACCATATACTTGATCACATAATTTACATTTAGTTTGATCATCATCTGTGTGTCTCCCAAACTGCCAGAAGTACTTGTAACCAAGCCTAAGCCTGGCCACTACAACATCAGTCAGTGTTCACAGTGCAAGTTGCTCCATCAACATACTGATCTACGTTCATGTTATCATAGTTGGTCATAGATCTACTCAGGTGTCGGGTTCGATACGGTGTATGGTGTCAGTGGCCCTGATAAACCCAACAAACATACAAAAACCGCCGGTGGTGTGGCTACAGCCAGGTTTAACAACTATTCAACAGCAGCAGCAGCAGCAGCAGCCATCACCAGGTTAACAGTGACTGTGAGAGCAGCAGGAGGAAGAAGAGGACTTTTGTGTGGTGACACAGCAGGTGTTATAATACTGTGTGAGGCCAGTGTAAGATGTCTGAGGTACAGGCGGGGCGGCCATCACATGAACACCATCCTGTAAGTGATCCAGTTTCTTGAATCAAGCCTGAGTGCCTTCTATTAACCCAAGCGATGTATGACTCCCCCAGCGAGTTTAGCGCCTTTCCCATGAAGGAAATAAAATTGAAAGCCCCTTCAGTGAGATGTCTTGATGCCGGTGAGGGGCTCTTGATCCAAGGAATCAAAGGTACTCTCCTTCGGCCCCTCAAGGGAGATTCCTCAATGCAGGGAGGGGCTTTTGATCCAAGGAATTAAGATCTACTAATTCTGTTGCCTGGCTGTAAACTATCTTATCCATTCCAGCTCACATATTTCTCTTGTACTGAATGGTGCCGTCAAACCTGAACATTAATCCCATCAAAAGACCACAAGCAATTTGAATAGCATCATCATTAGCAACATTTCTCTTAGTTTTGAACTTTCTCATTATCCACCCCAGCATTTCTCGTTTTGAATGTTCTCGTTATCTACCCCAACATTTGTTTTGAACATTCTTGTTATCCACCCCAACATTTCTTTTGTTTTGAACTTTCTCATTATCCACTCCAATATTTCTCTAGCTTTTACAACTTTGCTTTATCGTGCCTGGATGTGCATATGCCACTTTTTAACTGTGTTAATCTTTCTTCACTAAGGTAGGGTGAACCAAAAAAGAAAACACATTTACCATCACTCACTCAATAACTTTCTAGCCAGAAGTGTGTAGCTGTTACCTATGAATTGCAACATCCTCACTTATCCTTCATGGTCAGGCACAATACTTGTACTTCCAACCTCAAGAACTTGAGTCTGTATGGCAGAACAAGTGCCTATATACCATTAAAACTTTTCATAGAATATTTATGTATCATGAAAAATGACTTAATAAGACTTACCAGATCATAATACTGTAATTACAAGAACTAATAGAAATCTAGGTTACAGTGTACTGTATATGTATATAAAAATACAACACAGGATATTTATTCATAGTAACTGTATATCAAAGGTATATAATACTGATAAGATGATGAATAAAACCTGTGGAACATCTGAGTATCTTTATTTAACATATTATGCCCACCAGGGGCTTCTATCAATCTATACAGAAACAAGAGAAAGGAGATTTATACTGTATGCTGTATATAGGGGAATGAGAGGTGGTAGTAATGCTCAGATTGACGTGCAGTGACAGTAGTAGTAATGGCCACGTAGGTGTAATTTTTTTTTTTTTTTAGCTGATCCTGTATCTTGGTCTTATAAGATTAACCAAGCCAGAAGTTCAGAGACATTACAACTTCCTGTATTCTGCAAAATATTTCCATGTGAGTTCTCGTATAATGCATGAGCTGTTCATGTTGTCTCCTATGTGCATATTTGTGTCACTGACTGGTGTCCAAATGCCTTTCGGCCTCCACATTGGAACAGGTAAACTTCTATGTAAGATTGCACAGTTTGTTATGGTCTTTTTCTGGTGAAATCCTTGATGGAGTAGGTAGAAATAAAAAAAACATCCACTGGTATGTTCTTGTCTATATCAATGTGACCACTACTCTGCTACTCTATCACATGTCAACTTGACCACTACTGCTACTACTCCCACCTCTCTTGTTACCCTATATGTCTTCTTTCTCAAGTCTGCATTTGATTGTTTAAAGTACCTGGGAGGTGAAATGCCTCTTAAATAAAGATACTCAGATGTTACATATGTGTCTTTTTCATTTTGTCAATATTTTATTAAAGTGCTGTAAATTTATTTTAAATTCCTTAGTTTATTTTGCTGTGCATCAAAATCCAATCTAATCCTTGTTCATAATCTTTCATTATGCACTCAGTGGCCTCTTTATTAGGTACAGCTTTCTGGTACAGGGTAGGACTTTAAAGGTATATTCCCAGCACCTTGCTAAATCTATGCCACAAAAAATTCAGGCTGTTCTGGGGACAAGGGGAAGCCCTTTGTCCCCTGAACAGCCTGAATTCTTTGTAGCATAGATTTAACAAGGTGTTGGGAACACTCCTTAGAGATTCTGGTCCATTCTCTGTAAACAGCTATGCATGAATATCACGAATGATAGATCAGCAGTTTGAGATAATTAAAGCACCTCGTGTTTGGTGATTAGATTTTTGCCTTAACAAGCAGGTGTACCTATTAAAGTGGCCACTGAGTGTAGTTGTGATGTGAAAAATTGATAGCTCAATAATTTTTCCCTAACCATCTGTAATTTTAAACAATTTTTTTTTTTTGGCTTTAAATGTGATTTTTCTAAATTAATAAAAGTAAAGGTAATTGTTTTTAGCTTTGTCAGGTTAAACTACATTATTATAAATACTGCATCTGAATGATTCTGAGGTTGCTTACAATTACTCTTCACACAAAAAATGATTCAGAGATGAACTTTAATACTTTTATGCCTGGGATTTGGCTTCAAACTCTTTGTACCTTGTATTGTGTTTATTGCCTTTTGAATATTTTTAAAGAGTAAAATTATGCTAAACTGTTTACCAGTTTGTTTTTTCTATAATAGCAGAGGCCAACATTCAACCAGGAAGAGCTCAGAGTGCTTCGAGAATGCAATAGGGAGTCGTTTTATTACCGCAGCCTTCCTATTGCAGCAGGCTTTTCTGCAGCAACATTTGTAGCCATGAAGCGAGGTATGTCCCTAAGACTTAAAACTCAGTTTTTGTGTTATTAGGGTAATTTTATTAAAAATTGAATGACGTACATACTCATTTACACACACTTACTGCTCTGGGAGATGGACAGTGTATTAAAAATATGATTACAGTATTTTCATTATTATGTACTTATTATTATAATAATTATAATGTATGCTATATAGTAAGACCCCTATATCTATGGGGGTTACATTCCAAGGACCTGCCGCGAATACCAAAACTGTGGATAGTAGCGAACCCTATAAAAGTCTTTTTCCTTTACATATGTACTTATTGTGAAGTTTAATTGATAAATTATACACAATAAGTGGAGAAGGATCACTTTTTTCACTGATGGGAAGCACTTCAAGGCTTCTCTTAGGCTTTGAGAACTTCCACCATCACTACTTTTGCACTTTGAAGCCATTATTAAGCAAAATTAAGGGTTATTTTGAGGTCAAGGTAGATTGCGGATAACTGAAACCACAGATACCAGACCCGGAGATGTGGGGGTGCTACTGTACTATGATAAAATGTTGTAGTATTAGGAACATTGGCTGGTAAACACTCATTTTCCTCAATTTTGCAGGAATTTTGAAAGTAAACCAGCGATTTGGCTACACTCCGAAGATGATAGGAGCAGCATTCATTGGTTATTTTGTGGGGAAGATTTCATATCAGAACATCTGTGCCGAGAAGTTAATGCAGCTTCCTGACAGCCCAATCGGTGAAGTCTTACGCAAGAGGAAGGGACGGATGGGATTTCAAGAGACGTATGTATGTGCAGTATACAGTACTTTTATTTTTAATATAGTACGTACTTTCTTTTCCCTACTTAACATTAAAAATTGAAAACTAAATTAAAATTGGATTAAATTTTTATAATACAAGAATATAGAGTGCATGGAAACTACAGTGGATGGGTTTGTTTGGTTACATAATGGTTACAGTTATGAGAAGCCATTATCTTGCATATTCTAGTAAAAGCCCCTTGTTATAGATGTTACACACTACTTAATACTGTACTAGTCATAGCATATGGGTTTCGATTTTTGTAACAATGTACCATGCATATTTTATACATATTAAAAGGTGCTTGGGAATTAGGATAAAGTGTTGGCTTACCTGGAGTATACCTGGAGAGAGTTTTGGGGGTCAACGCCCCCGCGGCCCAATCTGAGACCAGGCCTCGTGGTGGATTATTGTCTAATCAACCAGGCTGTTGCAGCTGGCTGCATGCAAACTGACGTACGAACCACAGCCCGGCTGGTCAGGTACTGACTTTAGGTGCCTGTCCAGTGCCTTCTTGAAAACAGCCAGGGGTCTATTGGTAATCTTCCTTATGTATGCTGGGAGGCAGTTAAACAGTCTTGGGCCCCTGACACTTATTGCGGTATGTCAGCTAGGCCTGTATAACTTGTATATGTGCTTGTAGAAATAAAGATATTATTATTATTAGGTTTATATTTTTATTATCACACTGGCCGATTCCTGTATATATTGTATGCACAGTAGCAAATATGGATGTTTTGTATATTAAGTAAATTTACACTTTTGCAGAGCAAGGTGTGTATTGTATTAATGTTGATAGAATTACTGACAGTATGTTAGATAAAAGGACACAGGTGCAACTAATGTAACATTTTATTGTGGCAGTTTCGCTTTCCAGGAGCTTTATCAAGCCATAACTGCTTGATAAAGCTTCTAGAGAGCGAAATGTTACCACAATAAAATGACACATTAGTTGCACTTGTGTCTTTTTACCTAACAGGGTGTGTATTGTTTGGGACCCAGTTGAGTGATCATTCTAATAGCAAATTTCTGTTGAGTTATGATATGTTTGAGGTGGTTTTCTGGTGTAGATCTCCATACGCATATACCATAGTTGAGGTAAGGAGAGTGAGCATTGAAATATGATGTCATAGTTGCTTATTTTTGGAAGTATGCTCACTGTTTTAGAAATTTTTTGAAATGTGCTGAATGAATGTTAAATTTCAGTTTGTCAAGGCCTATACCTATGATTTTTCCCCTTCATCTTGTCTTTCAATTCATGTGTTAATTATTATTATGTTCAAATGATTATTTCTAGCTTTGTTCCCACACTCTATGCAAGTCTTATCTGTAATGAGTATGAGTTTGTTGGTTGTCTTCCACGTAGATATCTTCACAAGCTCTTAATTAACTATGTTGTTGAGTACAGAAGAATCTTCATTTGACATGACAGAAGTGGTGTCATCTGCAGAAAGTTCTTGAGAAGATTTAGGAAGGTTATTGATGTAGATGAGATATGGTAGAGGGCCTAAGATGCTGCCCTGAGGTACCCCCCATATTAATTGGTCAAGTTGTTGAAGTATTGTTATTAATGATCACATTTTTGTTTAATAAATGTATGAAAGAGGGGAAGGTACCTAGGGATTGACAGCGAGCATGAATAGTCCCTTTATATAAAGGGAAGGGGGACAAAAGAGATTGTAAAAATTATAGAGGAATAAGTTTACTGAGTATACCAGGAAAAGTGTACGGTAGGGTTATAATTGAAAGAATTAGAGGCAAGACAGAATGTAGGATTGCGGACGAGCAAGGAGGTTTCAGAGTGGGTAGGGGATGTGAACAGTATTTAGATAAAGGTAGGGAAGTTTTATTGCACATATGGATTTAGAAAAGGCATATGATAGAGTGGATAGGGGAGCAATGTGGCAGATGTTGCAAGTACATATATGGAATAGGTGGTAAGTTACTAAATGCTGTAAAGAGTTTTTATGAGGATAGTGAGGCTCAGGTTAGGGTGTGTAGAAGAGAGGGAGACTATTTCCCAGTAGAAGTAGGTCTTAGACAGGGATGTGTAATGTCACCATGGTGTTTAATATATTTATAGATGGGGTTGTAAAAGAAGTAAATGCTTGGGTGTTCAGGAGAGGGGTGGGATTAAATTATGGGGAATCAAATACAAAATGGGAATTGACACAGTTGCTTTTTGCTGAAGATACTATGCTCATGGAAGATTCTAAAGAAAAATTGCAAAGGTTAGTGGATGAGTTTGGGAGTGTGTGTAAAGGTAGAAAGTTGAAAGTGAACATAGAAAAGAGTAAGGTGATGAGGGTATCAAATGATTTAGATAAAGAAAAATTGGATATCAAATTGGGGAGGAGGAGTATGGAAGACGTGAATGTTTTCAGATACAGTGGACCCTCGACCAACGTTGGCATCGTCTAACGTTAAATCCGATTAGCGATACATTTTAACGTAAAAATTTTGCCTCAACTAGCGCTAAAAAACCCGACCAACGCTATTTGTTCCGTTCGAGACGCGTCCACTTGTGGCCTGAGTGCGCCTCACTTGTCCCGTGGGTGCCAGTGTTTACAAGCCAGCCAGCCACCGCGATCCCATCCAAACATACAATCAGAACATTTCATATTATCACAGCGTTTGTAGTGATTGCACCTGCAAAATAAGTCACCATGGGCCCCAAGAAAGCTTCTAGTGCCAACTCTACAGCAAAAAGGGTGAGAATTACTATGGATATGAAGAGAGATCATTGCTAAGTATGAAAGTGGAGTGCGTGTCTCCGAGCTGGCCAGGTTGTACACAAAACCCCAATCAACCATCGCTACTATTGTGGGCAAGAAAACGGCAATCAAGGAAGCTGTTCTTGCCAAATGTGCAACTATGTTTTTGAAACTGAGATCGCAAGTGATAGAAGATGTTGAGAGACTGTTATTGGTGTGGATAAACGAAAAACAGATAGGAGATAGCATCTCTCAAGCGATCACATGTGAAAAGGCTAGGAAGTTGCATGAAGATTTAATTAAAAAAATGCCAGCAACTAGTGGTGATGTGAGTGAATTTAAGGCCAGCAAAGGTTGGTTTGAGAGATTTAAGAATCGTAGTGGCATACATAGTGTGATAAGGCATGGTGAGGCTGCCAGTTCGGACCACAAAGCGGCTGAAAAATATGTGCAGGAATTCAAGGAGTACATAGACAGTGAAGGACTGAAACCTGAACAAGTGTTTAATTGTGACGAAACAGGCCTGTTTTGGAAGAAAATGCCAAGCAGGACCTACATTACTCAGGAGGAAAAGGCACCCCCAGGACATAAGCCTATGAAAGACAGGCTTACTCTGTTGATGTGTGCCAATGCTAGTGGTGATTGCAAAGTGAAACCTTTATTGGTGTATCACTCTGAAACTCCCAGAGTGTTCAGGGAAAACAATGTCCTCAAGGCTAATTTGTGTGTGCTGTGGAGGACAAACAGTAAGGCATGGGTCACTAGGGACTTTTTCTATGACTGGTTACACCATGCATTTGCCCCCACTGAAAAATTACCTCCTGGAAAATAAATTGGACCTTAAGTGCCTCCTGGTATTAGACAGTGCTCCTGGTCATCCTTCAGACTTGGCAGAGCGACTTTGTGGACATGAGCTTCATTAAGGTGAAGTTTTTGCCTCCTAATACCACTCCTCTCCTGCAGCCCATGGACCAGCAGGTCATTGCAAACTTCAAGAAACTGTACACAAAAGCTATGTTTGAAAGGTGCTTTGTAGTGACCTCAGAAACTCAATTGACTCTAAGAGAGTTTTGGAGAGATCACTTTAGCATCCTCAATTGTGTAAACATTATAGGTAAGGCTTGGGAGGAAGTGACTAAGAGGACCTTGAACTCTGCTTGGAAAAAACTGTGGCCAGAATGTGTAGACAAAAGGGATTTTGAAGGGTTTGAGGCTAACCCTGGGAATCCTATGCCAGTTGAGGAATCCATTGTGGCATTGGGGAAGTCCTTGGGGTTGGAGGTTAGTGGGGAGGATGTAGAAGAGTTGGTGGAGGAGGACAATGAAGAACTAACCACTGATGAGCTGCTAGATCATCTTCAACAGCAAGAGGCCACACCTGAGGAAACTGCTTCGGAGGAGGGGATAGAGAAATTGAAGAAGTTGCCTACTTCAAAGATTAAGGAAATGTGTGCAATGTGGCTTAAAGTGCAAACCTTTTTTGATGAAAATCACCCTGACACAGCTACTGCAAGCCGTGTTGGCAACCTTTACACTGACAGTGTTGTGAAACACTTTAGGAATGTCATCAAGGAACGGGAGGTACAGGCCTCTATGGACAGATATGTTGTGCGACAGAGGTCCAGTGACTCTCAAGCTGGTCCTAGTGGCATTAAAAGAAGAAGAGAAGTAACCCCGGAAAAGGACTTGCCACCTCAAGTCCTAATGGAAGGGGATTCCCCTTCTAAACACTAACACCATCAACACTCTCCCCTCCTCCCATCCCATCAATCATCACCAGATCTTCAATAAAGGTAAGTGTCATGTAACTGTGCATGTCTTCTTCAGTTTGTGTGTATTAAAATTAATATTTCATGTGGTAAAAAACTTTTTTTTTCAATACTTTGGGGTGTCAGGAACGGATTAATTTGATTTCCATTATTTCTTATGGGGAAAATTAACTCGACTAACGATAATTTTGATTAACGAAGAGCTCTCAGGAACGGATTAATATCGTTGGTCAAGGGTCCACTGTACTTGGGAGTTGACGTGTCGGCGGATGGATTTATGAAGGATGAGGTTAATCATAGAATTGATGAGGGAAAAAAGGTAAGTTGTGCGTTGAGGTATATGTGGAGACAAAAAACGTTATCCATGGAGGCAAATAAGGGAATGTATGAAAGTATAGTGGTACCAACACTCTTATATGGGTGTGAAGCTTGGGTTGTGAATGCAGCAGCGAGGCGGTTGGAGGCAGTGGAGATGTCCTGTCTAAGGGCAATGTGTGGTGTAAATATTATGCAGAAAATTCGGAGTGTGGAAATTAGGAGAAGGTGTGGAGTTAATAAAAGTATTAGTCAGAGGCTGAAGAGGGGTTGTTGAGGTGGTTTGGTCATTTAGAGAGAATGGATCAAAGTAGAATGACATGGAGAGCGTATAAATCTGTAGGGGAAGGAAGGCAGGGTAGGGGGTCGTCCTTGAAAAGGTTGGAGGGAGGGGGTAAAGGAGGTTTTGTGGGCGAGGGGCTTGGACTTCCAGCAAGCGTGCATGAGCGTGTTAGGAGTGAATGGAGACGAATGGTATTTGGGACCTGACGATCTGTTGGAGGGTGAGCAGGGTAATATTTAGTGAAGGGATTCAGGCAAACCGGTTATTTTTATATAGCCGGACTTGAGTCCTGGAAATGGGAAGTACAATGCCTGCACTCTAAAGGAGGGGTTTGGGATATTAGCAGTTTGGAGGGATATGTTGTGTATCTTTATAGGTATATGCTTCTAAACTGTTGTGTTCTGAGCACCTCAGCAAAAACAGTGATTATGTGTGAGTGAGGTGAAAGTGTTGAATGATGATGAAAGTATTTTCTTTTTGGGGATTTTCTTTCTTTTTTGGGTTACCCTGCCTCGGTGGGAGATGGCTGGCTTGTTAAAAAAAAAAAAAAGTTTGTATCTGTCACTGAGGTAAGATTTTAAGTATGCAAGAACATGTATATACATGTCACTACTTTTAATATTCTTTATACTTGATAAAGCCTTGTTTAGGCAAAATGTCAAACTAATAAAGTATTAATAAAGGTCGCCTTTTGCTGTATGCTGATCTTTACCAGCATAAATATTTTCTATGTTATATGGTATATCTCTTTAACAAGTCGGCCATCTCTCACCAAAGCAGGGTGACCCAAAAAGAAAGAAAATCCCCAAAAAGAAAATACTTTCATCATCATTCGACACTCACCTCACTCACATTTAATCACTGTTTTTGCAGAAGTGCTCAGAATACAACAGTTTAGAAGCATATACGTATAGATACACAACATATCCCTCCAAACTGCCAATATCCCATAAATATTTTCTGTGTTATATGGTATGTCTCTTTACCAGCATAAATATTTTCTGTGTTAGGTAAGTATCTTCTGCTTCTATCAACTTTCCTGTACTCGACTGAAGAAGCCTACTGTGTAGGCGAAACGTTTCGAAATAAAGATACCTAACTGTTGCATATGTGTCTTACCTAACAACCTGTCGGTATTTTATACCATTTTAATGTTCAATCTGTCAGACACTGCAACACAAGGGTATCTTGGTACAGACCTACAACCTACTTCGACAACCTCTACTAGTGAGAACGGCTGGATTTGAGAGGGACCTGACCTCCCAACATCTGAGTTCTTACCTCTTCTAGTGACCTACGTCTCACCTCTTGGCGCTATATAAGGCTCCATCCTGTCACTTCATCTCCATATTGTTTCATACTATGGAACAATGCTCTTCTCCAGACTGAGGGACTGACCACCTCAAAAATTTTAAGGGTGATGGACTGATTACATCGTCTTCAAGTATCTTCTGCTTCTATCAACTTTCCTGTACTCGACTGAAGAAGCCTACTGTGTAGGCGAAACGTTTCGAAATAAAGATACCTAACTGTTGCATATGTGTCTTACCTAACAACCTGTCGGTATTTTATACCATTTTAATGTTCATTCTGTATGTTATATAATGGTTTAGATTACAGTGGGTAGTTTAGATTACATTGGGGGTTGTAAATGAATGAGCTGGCAGTTAATGTCATAAAAGATAATTACAGTATAGTTATTACAGTGCTTATTGTTATTCCATTAAGTTCAAGAGATGATTTTTGATGATGTTTTTGAAGCAATTGGGAGATTTTTTCTTTAAATTGGAAGAAGTGTTTGCATGGGTAAACACTCATGTTTTCTCATTTTGACTGGGAAAGAAGTTTTAAGTTAATTTTTCCTCACAGTTGATTTATATTCTGCTTTTAAAACAATAAGTTGCTTATTCATATAGTACACTAAAAATATTTTCAGCCTTGGCATGGAGCCAGGATTCTCAGTGGGATATCCTTCAACTGAGTTGGGTTCTTCCACTTCTGATGCACCCATCTTTGATGACCACAGACCAGACGTGAGAGACCACAGTGAAGGTCTAGATGATTATGAGCGTGGAGTTACAGAATGTAAGAGTTTGATCACAGTCTTTTTCTTAATGTCATTAAACCTTTAGTCTCTTACCTCTGAATTTTCTTGTGCAGGTATATGCATTGTGTATTTTTGTGTTCACTTAGACTTGATACATGCATGCATGGTGATTGGATGTTTTTTGTTTAAAGTATCAATAGACATATTGGTAGTTGAGCTTAGACTCCCAGCAAGTGTGCATGAGTGTGTTAGATAGGAGCAAGTGGAGGCAAATGGTTTTTATGACTTGATATTCTGTTGGAGTGTGAGCAAAGTAACATTTATGAAGGGATTCAAGGAAACCAGTTAGCCAGACTTGAGTCCTGGAGGTGGGAGGTACAGTGTCTGTGCTGTGAGGGAAGGGTGGAGATATGTTGCAGTTTTTGAACTGTAGTGTAGGCATACTTCTGGCAAGACAGCGATGGAGTGATTCTTCTCGGTGGGAAACAGCTGATATGTTAATAAAAAATAAAAAGTGTAATCACCACTAACTGAAAGACAGCTACAGAATAAGTGATGGTAAATGCTTTCTTTGGGTCATACTACATTGGTGAGAAATTCCCATTGTGTTAAAATAATACATGATATGAAACATTTAAATATGCAGTAGAGGGAGGCAGAGATGTGTAAGGAAATATATAACCAGGCTGGTGGATGCTCAGTTCAACATCATCTTGGGTAAAAAATTTATTATAGTCATGGAAATTGTTAAATCTATGTAGGTTATTTAGATGCTCTTTAAGACTGAGGCTGACAGCATAGAGAAATTAGTAGTAAGAATATGCAGTGAAGGTGAATCTGTCAGAACTGAGGACAGCAAAGAATAAGCATTTCAGGCATTGAAGAAAGACTGTTTGCTCCCTGGTGAATGAGATAATTGATTAAAAAAATGGACTATTAGGCACAATTGTATTGTGGCACTTGGTGCCCATCCATGAAATGACGATGTGTGAGTGGTATAACCAATACATAGGCATGAAAGTACTGTTTACCATAACTAGTAGTATTGAAGGATGAATAGATGGCCAATTGTCATTCAAATAACAACTACCTGTGATCTTAAAAGTTCTGAATTAGTACGGACTAATGTAGATTTTCACAGTTAAACCATATACTTGCACATTACAATATTTACCAACTGTTAAACTCCTGAAAAGGAGTCCTGTGTCTTTTGTGTGCTGAAAGAGGAATAATCATTTATACAGTATTTACTTACTTTTACTGCATTTGACACTTAGTCCTGTACATTTTCCACAGCACTAACTCCATACACAGAAACCTCTTCCAGTATACCTCAGCAATACACAACTTATCAAGAGCTTAGACGTCAAAATCGAGAAGAGTATGTCAATAAAATGGCTGAAAAATATCGTAGATTACCAGCAGGTAAGCTTTGATACTTTATTGGTGGGTAAATTATCATGTCTCACGGGGTTATGAATTGAGTGGCACAGTTTGGAAGAGAGAAGGGTATAATTACTGATACTGTAGTTAAGAATGAGGAAGTATATGGAGTTTGGGTAGAATTATGCCTTTCATACAGCCATATTCACAAAAATTGAATATGGCTGTTGAAGAATGTTAAGAGTTAGTGATCAGTCTTTGCAAAAACAGGATTGCAACAAGAGCAAATAGTAAAGAAGTGGAATGAGCTGAGCATTGACACTATGGAATCAGAATCTACAGCAGATGTCAAATATGCACATCCATAAGTATGCCTTTAGCACTTCAGTAAGCCCTTCATTTAACAGACTTCAGAAATATGAAACAAAATCCGCTGGGTCAGTAGATTAGGAAACTGTGGACAAAATCTGTTGGTCACAGAATTATTCATTTTTATTACACTCATGGCAAAATAATCTTTTCTCTATCCACCACAACTGCTGTTACTGGCCACCTGCCTTTCCCCATTAAATTCATTAAATAGAGGGTTTTATTGTTATATACAGTAATCATTGGAATTTTTGCACTTTTTAAGTGTTGCAATATTTTTATGACAACAGATGCCTCACCAGAGAGTGGCCTTCATCCTTTACTTACAGAAGATTTTCACTCAGCACAGCCTACCTACAAGTCAGTGCCAACCCCACCAACCCATTCAAAAAAGAATCAGTATGGTGATGAAGTCTATGATTAAGTGATAACAGGGTTTTGTAAGTAGAAAAAGAACTGTATTTGGTTTGGAAGTTGAAGCACTTACACTTAAAAGAAAACTAGGATTGATATTGCATTTTGGTGTATGAATCTGCATTAGAGCCACTAGGTTATACATAAGATTACTTTTAATAAGTACTTTGTCTGGTACTTGGTTTGGCTCTATTGCACATTTGCAGTGCAAATATAATAATTACCTATAGTGTGTAGCTCGAAAAAAAATTAAAAGTATTTTTGGAAAGTTATTAATAGTCACAACATGACTTCAGATTTTTACAGTAGTTCTACTTTCACATCACCTAATTAAGCTATTTCGTATGTATGAACTTTATGAAAAGTAAGTCACAATACTGTGACTGAAACAAATCAGTTACTGCTGCCATCATTAATATTACTACCAGTACCACCACTCCCAACCTGTCTTCTGGTCTGTTTTTTACTCTCTTAGTTGTGACTGGAAGATGGTCCAAGACAGACAGTTGTCATAAGCTTGATTGTAATTATCCTCTTCATCCACAGATGTCTTGCTACCAGCTCGTCTTCCACAAGTGAAGATGTATCCTGTCAGCTTCTGAGAAGATTCATTTGTGCCTTGTGGGTTTCTAAATGATAGCTTTATTGTGCACATGGCAGTTATTCCTCTGAATGGGACAACATTTGAATATCGTGCTTTGATATAGTTTCTTCATATTCTGCTACATTATTAAAAATTCACGAAATAAACAGTGCTAAAAACCACAAAATGTTTCAATAAAGATGGTAGCAAACATACTACAATAATTTGCTGGTGGATGGAGGTGCAGTTCCTGACCAAGGTGTTAGCTGGGGTGGACACTATGATTTTACTGTGGTCTTGTAAATGGAAATCTCCACTTTAATTTTTACTTAGAGAATCTGTCTTAAATATACTTACCAGTCAACAAGTTTATATTGCAATAAATATTTCTCTAAATTTCTTCAACACCTAATATATATAATTGAGAAAACTACTGTTATGAAGTACTGAACTTTCCAGTACATGTATTTTTATTATTTCCTAACAATCTAGAGAAAAATAATTTTCATGTTACAGTGTGGATGTACAGGCATAATTCCCAAAGGTGTGAGTATGACTATACAATACGTATCCACGAAAAGCTTTTATTGGGACAATTTCATTTATGTAAGAGCTTTAAATCAATTTCAATTCTTTAACCAGAGGTTTGGTAAATTGGAGGGGAAGAAGGATGACGTGTACCAAATAATTTTAAATTCATTATAAATTTTTATTTTTAAATCAAAACAAGGAAGATACAGTTTTAAATGAAGTACATAATTATTTTGTATTTAAAATCAGAACAAAAAGTTTACAGCAAGCTCATAAATGTCAAAACATAACAAAAACGTGTTATTGACATCGAGTTTTTGATTGTTGCAAGGAGAATGTAGAAAAAATCTCCAGCCCTTTTTTTCCAGGTAATTTGACTAAATTATAAATTGTTCCATTCTGCATTACATGTACGCTAAATCGCAAGAAAAAAAAAAAAGATTGATCAATTTGCCAGGTCAAATAGTTGAAAATTTCAAAGTCTCAGCCCCTTGATTTCAGGCATTATCTTGACTAAACTGGTGATAATGGACTATCAGTCATTTTATGTCGGCTGATATACATGCATTTATAACTTGAAAAAATTGCTCTCCAGTAATGTATCATTTCTGGTAAACACCTTAATAAGTCCAAAATTCCTTCATTGTACAATGGTATCATTCGATCAAGAATTGGGTGTCACGGTTTTGGTTCCCATGTATGCCTGAGCCATAATGCATCACAGTAATTGAGAAACAGTTCAAAGCCCCTTTTGGAAGATGCATGGATGAATACAGTAAGAAGTCACAGAAAAGTAATCTTCCGAAAGCACTAGTCAATAAAAAAAAGTAAGAGATTCGACTTATCGCACAATGAACTAATGTCCAAAAAATTGTTGAAAAGGTACCGCTTTTGAATTATTATAATCACAGGGAAGCGCTAAACCCGTATTATTACACTGCATGTGGGGGGGGGGGATGGAAGGTATTCAGGCTCAATTCGGAACCGGAGCACAGATCGAATTCCCTAGATCAAGAGCCCCCAGTGTCAAGGAACCTCCTTTGAGGGGATTGCTTTTGAAAAATGTGCTCAGGGTGATTAGTCACTCCCCTTGCTCTCCCCCTAGCTGTCACTAAGTGGCCCAACCACTTTAGCATAAAATATAATAAAGGTGTGTGCTGTGTTATGCATAATAATCAGATGACTGTGTATACCACGCAACCCATCAGAGATATGTACTTGTATACGTGCATGACAGTGAATTGGTGATAGGTATATTTTTTTAGCTGCCTTTTTTATTTTTGTTTTGCTGGGTAGACTTAAAATTTTAAGTTTTATCTAATCATTTCTCCCAATAAAATCTTGTCTTGCAGGTTGTATATTCATACCCATGGAGCAGCATATTTATACAGAATCAGTCCAGTCTTCATTTAAATTTGTAAATAAAATACGTATCAATTTTGCAAATTTAATTATTTGTTCCTTAGCCCTTTCAGGGTCCAGACTCCCTATCTGAAACTTGCCCATAGGGTCCTAGAATTTAAAAAAAAAAATTATTTTTTCTTCTTATGCAATGGTAGAGAATCTTTTTCTGTAATAAAAGTAATAAAACAAAAGTACGAAAATTGATGGAAAACTGAAAATTACGCTTATGTGAATTTTGCTGCAACAGCGATTTTTGCTCACCGAGTCCTATTTTAGGCCAATTACATTGTATGTGGGACTGAAAGATGCTGGATCAGATATAGGGGGAGTTATCCCAGTTGCACTTTGTTGATGATAATTCTTTTATGGGATTCTGAAGGCAAATTACAAAGGTTGGTGGATGAAGATGGGAGGGTATATAAAAGAAAATTAAAAGCGAACAAAGAAAAAGTGATGACATTAATGAAAAATATAGGCAGTGATAGACTGAATATCAGACTGGAGAGAGGCAGTATGAAAGAAGTGGAATTAATTAGATATTTGGGAGTGGACACAGTCAGTAGATGGATCTATGAAAGACGAGGCAAATAATAGAACAGACAAGGAGGGAAAATGGTAGGTGGTGTGTTAAAGTATCTGGGAAGAAAAGTTTATCCGTGTAGGCAAAAAAAAATGGGAATGTACCAGTCAAGATTATAGTGGTAACAACACTTACCATATAAGGTGCCTTTTTTTTTTTTTTTTTTGTTTCACAAAGTCTTGGAAAATCAACCTGCACCTTATATGTTCAAGGTGAATGTCCAGGGTAGACTTTGGGTTATGCTTTAATAGTTACAATTGCTTAGAAATATCGTCTTATATGCTCGTACTCCTTGCATGCCCAAAAGTATGGTATGTGGGTGCGAGGCATGGGTTTTGAATGCCACAGTGAGAGGCTAGAGGCAATGGAGAGCATTGTTTAAGAGCAATGTGTGTTGATATACAAATGATTTCAGTGTACAAAATTAGAAGATAATGCGGGGTGACCAAGGGTATAATTCAGAGGTGAGGGCTTCCTGAGGTGGTTTGGGCATATAGAAAATGGACAAGAATAGGCTGACGAAGAGTGCATAAATCTAGGAAGGAAGGTAGAAGGGGAAAGGGGTCATCCCAGAAGAGACTGAGTTTTAGTTGCTTGAGTATCCAGCAGGCTTGTGTGAGCATGTTAGATAAAAGTGAATGGAGACCAATGGTTTTTAACAGACATTCTGTTGGACTTGAGCAGAATTTGAGTCCAAATGTGGCTAACCAGGAAATCATTTAGCTGGACTTTAGTTCTGCAGGTAGGAGGGGGCAGTGCCTGCACTCTGAAGGAGGGGTGAGGCTGTTGTGGTTGGATTGTGATATTAACCCACTTTGGAAAGATGACAATTAATTAATGTTGGTAAATGTGTTTTCAGATTTCAGGTACGTCTTGCTACTTCTACTTACACTTAGGTCACACTACACATACATGTACACACACCCCTCTGGGTTTTCTGCTATTTTCTCTCTAGTTCTTGTTCATTTCCTCTTATCTCCATGGGGAAGTGGAACAGAATTCTTCCGTAAGCCATGCATGTTGTAAGAGGCGACTAAAATGCCGGGAGCAAGGGACTAGTAACCCTTTCTCCTGTATAAATTACTAAATTTAAAGAGAGAAACTTTTGTTTTTCTTTTTAGGCCACCCTGCCTCGGTGGGTTACGGCTGGTTTGTTGAAAGAAAGAAGAAAAATGTGTTTTCGTCTTTGGGCCTCCCCACATTGGTGGAAGATGGCAGTTAAAAAGAGTATCATTTAACATTGTAGATATCATTATTTGTTGATCTAGAAATATGGGAAGGGCTATGTTCCTACTAGGCTAGGCCTAGTTGGATGTAATGAGGTTTACGTACATTCAAATAAGAGTGCGTGTAGCTAAAAAAAAAAAAAATTAAATGTTTTTCTTACCTTAAATTCTGGTTGCTGATGCATATTGATTTTAACATCACTGGAGAGGGTTGCTGTAGCCCTACTGACTGTGGTTCTTGAGCTACAGTCAATGCAGAGTTGTTATTGCTGATAAGGCATCATTAACACCTCCAGACCCCACTTCACAGCAATACTTCTAGATGCGACGGGTCCTTTAGTCATGAACGTCAGCAATTTTACTGATACCATGCAGCGACTCATACATAACTTGGATTGTTACCTGTTCAGGTTCAGGCTCATCTTCATTCTTTTGTTATCTGTCTCCCTTCTCTCCAGGAACTGCATTTCTTCAACATTTCGTATGCAATTTGTTTGTCATGATGTAAAGATCCATTTATGTCTTCTGGTTGTACATCTTCAAAGCGCTCACTTGGCACTCTCCTTGCCACATCCACAGTTTTCTGAACCTGACTGTTGAGAGGAAAACATGTGAAATTATTCACTGCACTAGGCCATAATTTTCTCCAACTTGCATTCACTGTTTAGTGTGGCAGTAGATTTTATGTAACTTTTACATTGGCTATTGTATCCGCAATGTTAAACTTATACCAGAACTCTGCACTCCAGATTCTGCATTGTCATTGATGGATGTGAGGAGTTTCTGCACCTTAAATGTAGAGTAGCACTTTAAATATCTTAATCACTTCTCAGTCCAGTATGTATTTGATGGTGAAAACAAACTTCACATTAACAGTTGGGTCCACAAACTGCAATACATGAGGATGAGATAAAATTAAAGTTATAAATAGTGAGAACCTGGAATGAAAAGTTTTTTCTGGCTAGGTACAGCTTCCCTGCAGGTTATTATAATCAAAACCAAGTGATAAACCCACTAGGGTCTTCACTGCAGGAATACAACCTCAAGGCACACCCCATGAAGGTATGATAGTCACAAGAAAGGGCTAATCCTGTATAGATAGAGATCAAAAGTACAGCAAACTCTGACATAGCAAACTTCTGTAACGAACTTCAGAAATAAAACAAAATCCACTGGATCAATCGTTTCAAAAACAATGGATGAAGTGCTCTGGTAGCAAAACTGTCCATTATGATTATTATTATCACAGTAAAACAATATATCCATCACAACTGTCATTACCAGTTATCCATTCCTTCCTATTAGTCCATTCTATGGAAAGTTTCCTGTACACAGAAAAGTCTTATGAAACCACTAACCTTCAGCCCTTATTTTGTTATTTATTACATAAAGATTAAAAAAATAAATAAATTATGTACTGTATAAGTCAATAACTTTTATTTCATATACATATATGTAGGTAAAAATAAATGTTTTGCAGTTTCTAAATTACCATTCATGCTAGTTGTACAACTTAAATTATCTACATACTCATTTCAGTATGGCCACTGAGGTACAGCAAAATTAAAAAGTTTAATTAAAGTGGCATATATGCATGTTCAGATTTTTCAAGTACAGTAATATGTAGTTATTAGGATTGTCTGAAATTTGAAAAAATTCTACATGCTGTAGGTCAACTAAGTCTGAAAATTAAATTAAAATCAATACAATAATTAATTTATTACCTTTTAAGTGTCTAAATAAAAGTTAACCTACAAGCATAAATAATGAAGATTAAGAAACCTACAGTACACTGTAGTTGATTATTATATTTTAAAAAGGGCTACACATGTATATGTGTAGGCCATTTTCCTCTCAGGGAAGGTGCATCAATACTGCTGAAGGGTTCAGGAAATTAGTTCTATCTTGTCTTTTGGATCGGACCCGATTTCCTCCCAATCTCCATGCAATCTAAAACCCCTTACAGGTTTAGCACTTCCTCCCAAATTTAATAATGCAAAAGCTATTCAGCACATCATGGTTGATTAACTGAAAACTCTCTTTCCTACAGACTACCTGCTTAACAAATAAGTTAAAATACTTTTAAATTTCTCTATATCTCAAAGATTATCGTATAAAATAGGTAAAGAAATGTAGGTGACAGGGACATTCACTATTTCCTAACTACATATACAACCCTTAGACATGTGGACATCTTTATTCACTAAACTGGATTTACTCTTACCAGTGAATGGTATTAATCATTATTAATATATTAGTGACAATGCACTGACCTACAGTGGTCCTAGAGCACCTGGGGAATGGCAGGCAATTAGATTTGATACAAGAAAGGGAGGATAGCTGAAATTCCTTGGAAGTGCCATTCATTAGCATCCAGTCATCCCCTTAAAGGGGCTCAATGGGGTGGAGCAGATGTAATTCCCTTCAAGGGGTTGGTGGGGTAGGTACCCTGATCCAAGAAATTAGTATTACCTTTCTTTCCTATGATCAAACCTAACTACCAGTCAGTCTCCAGGCCCTACAAGATCCTAATGGGTTTAGTGCTTCCCCTTGAATGTAATAATGATAATTTCATTTTGGGTGCATACTGGTGGAATGTCTCGTGATTCAAATGCTAAAAGATACTTCTACAAACTAAAAGTGTCCTCAGACAATCCTCTTTCCACTAATATCCATAAGAAAAGTACTTAAATGTTTAAACAGTTTCAATTTTTACCGATTTATCGTCTGGCATTCATGAAATTCACAGTCACCAATTTACCAGCTGTATGTTCCCATTTTTAGTATGTAAAGTAATAGGTAAAACTACTGTAATGTCAGTATTGTAAGATTAATTTTACCTATTACATACTAATGTATGAGGAATTAGTGAAGAACAACCATAAAGTGGAAGGAGGGATCAAACATGTAAAATGTATTATAAACAGATACTATCTAAACACATGAACACTTAAAGGTTTGCATACCTCCTCTTACCGGTACATATGTTTGAGCACTTTTGACTATTATACACATCACACTTACACTGCACGGTCCAATATGGACGTAAATTTACATTTGTTTTAATAAAACTAAACCATAAAGTGAGTTAAAAATTGTTAATATCACATTAGTTTTTTTTAAACTTGGTGGCTGTCTCTTGCCAAGGCAGGGACTAATTATCACACTACATTGTAATACTGCATTACATGATCTTGCGATCTAACTACCTGCTCTCGTCGGCCAGGTCGATCAGTAAACTTTCTTCCTGACCTTCTGCTCCACAGTCCAGGTTTAATTTCAGGAACTTTCTTGAGTTTCAAAGCTTGGCTTACATTTTCCTTGCCTGACACAGCTTCATTTGACTTCTTACCAAGGTTTTCAGTGCTTCTTGGTCGCTCTCTGAGAATGCAATTAAGACTTGATTTTACAGTGACCTGTAGCTTTTTGTCAGGGTTTAAGAGAGAAGCAGGTTGATGTGGGGAATCTAGTGATTTTTTACTTTGCCCTTGCTGTTGAGCAGTGCTAGCATTATCAGAAATAACTCTGAGGGGCCCTCTAATATTAGTTTCATCAGGCAACTTATCTTTGGTTTCTGTCTTTGGCTCTGAAGATACTAAACGAAAAATATTGCCTCTCTTCTGTCGACTTTTTGGATTATCAAGCGTGTTGCTCTTAAATTTGGTAGGTTTTTCTTTGAAAGACACTCTCTTCTCCCCTGGAGGCTGTATGCCTCTCATTTTAAGGAATGGGTTATCAATTCGCTGTGGATCAAGCTTTGTTGTGGTTTTCACAATGTCATCACTGACATCAGCACTCATTGTGGTATCCAGATCAGAAGGAGGCCTGTGTGGTGATGTTGCAGCATTCTGCCGAGGTCTTGACTGTCTCAGATATATCTGAGCACGCACTAAGTGCTCTCGTGCTTCTCTCTCCATAGCTGCTACACGGTGCTCTCTATGACTTGCTTCACGTTCTCTCTCTTTCAAAGCCATTTCACGCTCCCTTACTGCTATCTCAGCTTCTCGTAAGGCTAAAACTCGCTCTCTCCAGGATTTTAGTGACATGCCTCCACAGGCACATTCCAATTTGGCAAAATTCATATCACAAATACCTTCTTGGACTTTACTACATCCTCTGTCAGGCAGTTGCCCAACATTTCTAGCTGCACGGCATATTTTTTCTATGGTGTTTTCTAAAGCAGATTCTGTTTGATCTTTTTTCAGAGGTAGTTTGGGGGTTTCTTGAGGTAGATGGAAATTTGATGAACTGTCTTGATCTTGTTCACTATTGACTAGTTTATTTTGATAAGGCAAGAGCTTATGCTCTTCATCACTGAATCTAGAGAAGTCTTCGTTTTTAGAAATTCTATAAGTTTCAGCCATTAAGTAAGTGCTGTTGATTTTGGTATGTTTAGTTTGAGTTTCATCTCTGCTACATTTATCTACTTTAAGTTTTCTGCTATTGGTGGAGCATTCACTCTCTTTGGCTTGTTGTGCATTATTTTTTGGTATTTCATTACTATTCTCCCCCTTTCCTTCTTGATGCATTTCCTCTTCGTGTTCTCCAGTTTCAAAGTCATTTTCTTCTTTTGACACTTCTATATCCTGCACAACTTCTAGCTTCTTAGGTTGATTTCCTGCACTCAAGAGAACTCTGTGACTTAAAGAGTGATAAAGAGGGTCATCTCCCTGGCGATCCTTCTTTGAGGCAGTGTGAGCAACAAGAGCAGAGTGATGGAGTACCACGAGTGCAGTGGGACGCAAGAAGTCCTCATAAGTAAGCAAGAAACCAAGAACTTCTTGCAGGGCATTGCTGTACTGAATGGGAATGCGTTCATATCTGTTAAAAAAAAGAAACAGAATATTTGTAATTTCGAAAGGCAACAAGTATGACTATTTTACATCAAGCAAGCAATAACAATCATATACTGTACATGCTTTATCTAGCAAGAACACTATAATGCCAATATTTTATATATACACGTAGGATCATGAATGACTTATCGTACAATAGCACATTCCAAATATACAACAGATGTTATTTGGCTGATATGTGCTTTTGGCAACATACTCAGTACTATACTGTACTTTCCCTAGATCATTCATTAAGGGAAGTTAGGAGCCTTTGTGTCCCAAGTCTGCACTACATCTGTTGGGGTTTAATCCCAGTAGACATTTGTGGCAAAATTTGCATTATGTCCAGGCCATACTGTAGCCTTCCTTGGTTATCTCTTTTTTTTTTTTTTAACTCAGCAGCCATCTCTCGTCAAGGAAGGGTGACCCAAAGCAGAAAACACATTCACCATCATTCACTCAATTGCTGTCTTTCCAGTTGTCGGCTAACATCACAATTAGATTACCTTCAAACTGTAATATCCCCATCCCTCCTTCAGAGTTCAGATCTGGCAAATAGGACTGAATCTCTTCATAAAGCTTACCTTGTTCAGACTCCAACAGCATATCCACTAAAGCACCACTTCTCTCCATTCATTCCTAATACACTCACAAGCCTGCTGGATGCTCAAGCCCCTAAAACTCAGTCTCTAACCCTTTCAATGTTGTGACCCCATTGCTGATACCATTGCTGCTTAAAGAGTCTTTTAAAATGGTAGGGAATCCACATCTGAACTCCAAATATTACACCTTATGGATTAACATAGGCACAAATTTGGCAGTCTGGGACCAACTGACTCATCAGCAATTTTTGCCCACTTTGAGTCTTATTTTAAGCCAATTTCATTGCTCAATTTGACCAAATTCTTAAGTTATTTTGCTAGAATGCCATCCATTCTATCAACTGAGCACAAAAACAACCCATTCAACTATCAGAATTACCCTATAAAGTGTATAGTAATCTGGCCAATTTTACATGAAATTCAATAAATTCCACTTTTAAAAGACCACATTAAACACTGTATGCATTCCAGCCACTAAAACAACCTATCTTCTGTCATTAATAATGTCCTCAGGCCTCTCCTATATTACACTTGCCCTCAGTCACAAAAAAATTGAAGTTTTACAATATTTCTCAGATAATATATAACCAAGAATGATTAGTCATGGTTTAGAGCATCCCAATAACTGAAGAAAACCTAGTAAAACCCCATTAAACAAACTAGGAGAGGTGGGGGGCCTTCCCTCACACCTCCTCAAGAAACTGTTAAAAATCAAATCTTTCTGATAATTTGAGCCCTGTTTCAAGCTACTTTTGATCCTGAAATCGACTAAAATAATTTCTATTTTCATAGTATGTCTACCATCCTATCAACTGATACCAAGAAACAGCCAATAAAAAATAAAAAACCACCTCGGTCACTATTTTAAACCAAACAAGGTCAGAAGTTTACTTTTACCATCACGCACCACATAGGGTGGGACTTTTTATACTGTCCACTCACTGCAGACTCATTCTCATGTCTAGGCCAAAATTTAACCATCTGCAGCATATTTGAGGGTGCTGTTCTTAAGACACAGATCTATGTGAGCAGCACTGGCATCAATTACGTAGATCTGTATATGAGACAGTAAAAAAGTAAACTCCCTCCCTCCAACTGTTCCTGGGATGTCCCCTATCTTTCCTACCTTCCACCCCAGATTTATATGCACTTCGTCAACTTTTTTGTCTTCCTAATTTCACATCAGATAACAGGGATACATATGACTTTAGCTCTTCTGGTAGGTTTATTCATACAGTATTATACTAGAAATAATACCCATAATCTTTGAAATCCATTTTCTTCACCAATTCACTCTGATACCTTCTCCCAGACAATGACACCATGTTTCCTTTATCTCGAGAATTTAATGCTCCACCCCTCATTTAACTGCTTAATTTCTATTACCTTATCATGCAACTCTAGCAAACCTGTTTATGTACAGAAATTTGTGCATGAAGCAGAGAACAGCAGCATCAATTGACTAAAAATTCAGAGGCAGAACTATTTCATGTATTATCACCCTTCAGTAACAACTCAGAGAACTCAAGACAACAGTTTAAATGTTCATCCTGAATTTATTACTGTTTTTACTTTAAACATCGACCATTTCTTACCAAGGTATGGTAGTAAGCTGGCAGATAGCAACCATCCAGAGAAGTACTACTACCATGACAAGCAAGTGTGAAATGAAAGTCTGTTAAACATTTTGCACTAATAGAAAAAGCTGACCTTCTTGCCATATTTTGCAAGCATGAAAAATGGAGTTAGATCTTGCACATTTTTACTTACAATCAATACAAACTTCACTTTTCTGTGTGTTTCTTAATAGTTTTACATTCCTGTTATATTTCTTTTCCAGTTTAGGCCCAGAACTATTAACAGAACCCTAGAACTATTAACACCCACCATGTATGACCCAGAGAAGCAACAAGCACACTCACAATCACTCTCCTTACTAGTCTTTCTAGGGCAGACATTACAGCATACAAATTGGCCCCATTTTACAGCGCTTGGCTTTACGGCATTTTGCTAATACTGCAGTTTTCAATTATACCCATTAATTCAGATGTCCTACAATAAATATATTCACCACTCACTACAAGCTAAAGGTGAAAATATTTTAACATAAGTAATGATAGAGTGGGAGAGGCACTGTCAAGAAATTTTAATGAAAATAAGAAAAAATTTTGGAGGTAAACAAGTTAAGAAAACCTAGAGAACAAATGGATTTGTCAGTTAAAAACAGAGTAGGGGAGTTAGTAGATGGGGAGATGGAGGTTTTGGGTAGATCACGAGAATATTTTGAGGAACTTTTAAATGTCGATGAAGAAAGGGAAATGGTAATTTCATGCACGGGCCAGGGAAGTACACCATCTTTTAGCACTGAAGAAGAACAGGATGTGAGTGTGGGGGTGGTATGTGAGGCATTACGTAGAATGATAGGGGGTAAAGCAGCTGGAACTGACGGGATCATGACAGAAATGTTAAAAGCAGGGGGATATAGTGTTGGAGTGGTTGGTATTTTTGTTTAATAAATGCATAGGCAATGGGGTCGAAGAGGTATGGGGTAGGTTTAAAAATGTAGTATTAGAGTGTTCAGCAGAAGTTTGTGGTTACAGGAAAGTGGGTGCGGGAGGGAAGAGGAGCGATTGGTGGAATGATGATGTAAAGAGATTAGTAAGGGAGAAAAAGTTACCATATGAGAAGTTTTTACAAAGTAGAAGTGATGCAAGGAGGGAAGAGTATATGGAGAAAAAAAAGAGAGGTTAAGAGAGTGGTGAAGTAATGTAAAAAGAGAGCAAATGAGAGAGTGGGTGAGAAGTTATCAACAAATTTTGTTGAAATAAGAAAAAGTTTTGGAGTGAGATTAACAAGTTAAGGAAGCCTAGAGAACAAATGGATTGTCAGTTAAAAATAGGAGAGGAGAGTTATTAAATGGAGAGTTAGAGGTATTGGGAAGATGGAGGGAATATTTTGAGGAATTGTTAAATGATGATGAAGATAGGGAAGCTGTGATTTTGTGTATAGGGCAAGGAGGAATAACATCTTGTAGGAGTGAGGAAGAGCCAGTTGTGAGTGTGGGGGAAGTTCATGAGGCAGTAGGTAAAATGAAAGTGGGTAAGGCAGCCAGGATTGATGGGACAAAGATAGAAATGTTAAAAGCAGGTGGGGATATAGTTTTGGAGTGGTTGGTGCGATTATTTAATAAATGTATGGGAGAGGGTAACGTACCTAGGGATTGGCAGAGAGCATGCATAGTTCCTTTGTATAAAGGCAAAGGGGACAAAAGAGAGTGCAAAAATTATAGGGGGATAAGTCTGTTGAATATACCTGGTAAAGTGAATGGTAGAGTTATTATTGAAAGAATTATGAGTAAGACGGAGAATAGGATAGCGGATGAACAAGGCGGCTTTTAGGAAAGGTAGGGGGTGTGTGGACCAGGTGTTTACAGTGAAACATGTAAGTGAACAGTATTTAGATAAGGCTAAAGAGGTCTTTGTGGCATTTATGGATTTGGAAAAGGCTTATGACAGGGTGGATAGGGGGGCAATGTGGCAGATGTTGCAAGTGTATGGTGTAGGAGGTAGGTTACTGAAAGCAGTGAAGAGTTTTTACGAGGATAGTGAGCCTCAAGTTAGGGTATGTAGGAAAGAGGGAAATTATTTCCCAGTAAAAGTAGGCCTTAGACAAGGATGTGTGATGTCACCGTGGTTGTTTAATATATTTATAGATGGGGTTGTAAGAGAAGTAAATGCGAGGGTCTTGGCAAGAGGCGTGGAGTTAAAAGATAAAGAATCACACAAAGTGGGAGTTGTCACAGTTGCTCTTTGCTGATGACACTGTGCTCTTGGGAGATTCTGAAGAGAAGTTGCAGAGATTGGTGGATGAATTTGGTAGGGTGTGCAAAAGAAGAAAATTAAAAGTGAATACAGGAAAGAGTAAGGTTATGAGGATAACAAAAAGATTAGGTGATGAAAGATTGGATATCAGATTGGAGGGAGAGAGTATGGAGGAGGTGAATGTATTCAGATTTTTGGGAGTGGACATGTCAGCAGATGGGTCTATGAAAATTGAGGTGAATCATAGAATTGATGAGGGAAAAGGGTGAGTGGTGCACTTAGGAGTCTGTGGAGACAAAGAACTTTGTCCTTGGAGGCAATGAGGGGAATGTATGAGAGTATAGTTTTACCAACGCTCTTATATGGGTGTGAAGCATGGGTGATGAATGTTGCAGCGAGGACAAGGCTGGAGGCAGTGGAGATGTCATGTCTGAGGGCAATGTGTGGTGTGAATATAATGCAGAGAATTCGTAGTTTGGAAGTTAGGAGGAGGTGCGGGATTACCAAAACTGTTGTCCAGAGGGCTGAGGAAGGGTTGTTGAGGTGGTTCGGACATGTAGAGA